AGGGGTGCCCGGTGCGTGCCCTGATGCTGCACAAAACAGGATTTTTTTTAGAGCAGTTGAAGCTTTGCCCACGTTTTCCTCTGTTCTGGTGTGTTCAGCAGCCATCAGTTTCCTCTTACGTGTCGATGTTACTCTGCCAACGGAGATCTAGGCCTCCCCTTCCTCCTGGCTGTGCTCTGGAGAGGACAGCTTAGGTGTCGGTCTGTCCGTGGGATATCTTTAGGAGCTGCACAAAACAGGATTTTTTTTAGAGCAGTTGAAGCTTTGCCCACGTTTTCCTCTGTTCTGGTGTGTTCAGCAGCCATCAGTTTCCTCTTACGTGTCGATGTTACTCTGCCAACGGAGATCTAGGCCTCCCCTTCCTCCTGGCTGTGCTCTGGAGAGGACAGCTTAGGTGTCGGTCTGTCCGTGGGATATCTTTAGGAAAAAGATCACCCTGGCCGTTTCTGGCAAGTCCTGACGCAGCTGCTGAATCCATGGCAGTGCAGTCTCCCCATGCTCCATTTAAGCATTACCTTTCTTGGGTTTAATTTCTAGTGAAATGAAGCTGAAGGAAATCGATCGTACTGCCATGCAAGCATGGAGCCCTGCCCAGCAACACCCCATTTATCTGGCCACAGGTGAGTTTCTGGAAAACATGGGCTAGCAGGCCTCTGGCTACTGCCATGAAGTGGTTGTCATTGAAAGTTGTAGGAGTTATTTTGTGTCCTGAAGGCTGGAGCGGGGTGGACGGTGCAGTGCCTTTAGTTGTGCCGCGCGTGAAAACATACTCTGCGTTCTGCAAGTCGCAGTAAGCAGCCTTCATGCCAGGGTAAGGTGACAGCAATCCTAACCGCTGGTTTACTGTCCCTTGCTGTTCATTTGCAGCTTTGCTCATTTTCTGTGCGTCGCTAGGGAGAGAGAGGCACTTGCCCAAAGCTTTCATGTGGGTTAAGAAATCCCCAAAGGGATAACTGTGGGGAGGAGAATTCTCGCTGCCAACCATGTTTCTTTGCAGGTACATCAGCTCAGCAGCTGGATGCAACCTTCAGTACAAGTGCTTCTCTAGAGATATTTGAGTTGGACTTATCGGACCCTTCACTGGATATGAAGTCCTGTGCCACCTTCTCCTCCTCTCACAGGTAAGCAGTGGGGTTACAAGGGAAAAGCTGTGGAACTGTTACCAGTGGTGTGTGTGGAAAGGCCACTTGATGAGGTTTATGTGGAGTTTTTACGGAGAGGAGCAGGAGTTCAGCATTGAAGGGTGAAGGTGCATGAGTGACACTGATTTTGTGGGACAGTGAGGTGTCATTGTGAAGGCAGCAAGTTTGGAGTCTAAGGAGTTGCAAGCAGCTCATGCTTTGACATAAACCTAAAAAATGACTGTATGCTTGAATATATATGCAGACTGTTTATCACGGGGAGCCTCTGGGATTCTCCCGGGGACAGAAGGAAATGCAATTGCAACCTTTCACATTGCCCCATCCTGTTTGTGTTTAGGTATTTCAGGGAGACTCCTGTAACCACTAAACTGGGTCGTGTTGTGTGTGTGTAGTATCATACATCACCCCACAGCTGGGAAGCCAAGTTCCTGACTGTACAACTCCACTTATCTCTTAGTTCCTTACAGTGTGCTTGCCCTAAGAAACATTGTTAGCATCAGAACGTTCGGTTTCCATCTTGGCAGCACTTGCAGCAGCTCTCTGGTGGCTCATCCAGTGGCTGCTGCTTGTTGTGGGTGAGCTGAAACGACATAGCTGGAAGTGCAGGATGTTTCTGTGGCTAGAGAAGGTGAAAGTTTTCATTACTGTTGGATTGGATCCATGACTTTTTTTCATAGCAGCTGCAGTGTCAGCATAGCCATTCTTTCCCCTGGTGACCCAAAATGACATGGGTGGAGGTGCTGGTAATTACTGCAATTTGCCAGTGTGTTCAAGTGACAATTTGACACTTCTAGAGAAGCAGTTGCCATCTCCCCCACCTCTGACATGAGTAGAAATTAATTGGACTTGAGTCTTTATTGTCTGTTCTAAACCTGTAACCTCAAGACATAGGGGCCTGCAACTGTTACCTAAAGTTCTTGACCACATGCAGTTTTATGGATTCCTAGAGGTAGTGTTGCCTATAAACGAGTTGAGAGGGGTTGAAATTTTGTGTGTTTTCAGCTGGTGAGACTGTGACCCTGCTTAGGGATGCTGTCCTGATCAGAGTAAATAACGGTTGCAGTAGCTTTTGCAGGAGGAAGCCCAGGTGTCGGGCCGCTGGCTTTGTGCAATGTCAGGTTTGTAATGATTTGTGAGCAGAGCAGTTGTGCTGGCAGGCAGCTCACAGTCTGCCCTGCAGCTATCAGCTATTTAGTACGTGGGACTTGGGAGAAACAGGCACCGTCTCTGTTTAATGCCCTGCACTGCGGGCAGAGCTGATGTTAACGCGTCTCGCTGTCTGCTGGGAGCTGGAAGAGGTGTTTGATCTTTTAAAATTTCCTTGTTCTACCTTGTTTTAACTATGAGATTTTTTTTTTCAAGGCTTGTCAAATGACACTTGCTTACTGAATTTCAAAAAAACACTCCTCCTATCCAGAATGCAGTGGTCCTTTGAAAGTACTTCCCTTTGTGAGCAACGCAAGAGTTTGACTTTGCTCCAGAAAATGCATTCCAAGGAGGTTTCATTTATTTATTGTTATTAAAGGTAACAAGAAGCGCCCCAGCTAGCAATGTATACGTCAGGCTGTATTTTGATTTGTAGCAAATGAAAATGTCCAGCTGATTAAACCCACAAAAGATAAAGCCTGAAACAGGCTGTGTTAATTGCCCTCCAGGTAAAGCTCGGCACTGCTTACAGAGCCATACATTACCTTGGAAAGAGCAAAGGGCAAGAGGAAGGTTAATTGCACTGTTAATTTTGGTTGTTCCTCACTGTTTTCTGCCTTCATTTTGGATTAAGTCCTGTTGAATCTTGCTGGTGGTATAATACTGGTGCCCAGACAATCCCGTCAGTAACTCCATTTCTGATAACCTCGCATAGTTAGGTGCAGAGGAATAGAAATTGTCCCCAGGGAAGGGGTCTGTCTGATCCCACAGACCAATTTCCATCTGTAGCATTGTTCTTTGAACCCCCACTGTAACCTGAAAGCTGCGCTACGAGACTGGGCATTTGGGTGTTACAGTATTTCTCACCCAGCATATGCTCTTTAGCTTTCTGCAATATGTGCTTTATCATGCTGAAGTTGCTGTGATTTAAAGAAATTACTTGAAAGTTGTCCCGAGATAACAGAGATTAATAACACTGTGAATGCTAAAATAACTCTTTTGACGCCTTTGGGTCAATGTGGGTCTGCTTTCTGCTTGCCTGAGGGCTGATAGGTGGCAGTCATTTTCCGTAGAAGAAATTCATTCTTTGCGTGCCTGAATACACAGGAATGCGGTTTTGCTTATGCAGTTCACTGCGTTGAAGGAAGTTTGGGCATTTGCAGACGGACAGAGAGGTGTGAAAATACTACATTTCTGGAAGTATGTTTCATTCTTTAGCCTGGAAAATAGATTGTGGTCCAAGAGACGTGTGCCTGTGATATAAATAGACTGCTTGCTGGGCCTCAAATACAGCAGATGAAACTCTTGCACATCCAGAAGCTCAGATATGGAAAAGGATTTGGAATTCCCCTCTACTCTGGTCTTGTGAGACCCCACCTGGAGTACTGTGTCCAGCTGTGGATCCCTCAGCATCAGAAGGATATAGAGCGGTTGGAGCGAGTCCAGAGGAGGCCACGGAGATGCTCCGAGGGCTGGAGCCCCTCTGCCATGGGGACAGGCTGGGAGAGTTGGGGTGTTCAGCCTGGAGAAGGGAAGGCTCCGGGGAGACCTTATAGCACCTTCCAGTGCCTGGGGGGGCTACAAGGAAGCTGGGGGGGGCTTTTTACAAGGGCCTGTAGTGACAGGACAAGGGGTAACGGGGGTAAATTGAAAGTGGGGAGGGTTAGATTAGATATCAGGAAGAAGTTCTTCCCACAGAGGGTGGGGAGGCACTGGGACAGGTTGTCCAGAGAAGCTGTGGATGCCCCATCCCTGGAAGTGTCCAAGGCCAGGCTGGATGAGGCTTGGAGCAACCTGGTCTAGTGGAAGGTGTCCCTGCCCATGGCAGGGGGGTTGGAACTGGATGGTCTTTAAGGTCCCTTCCAACCCAAACCATTCTGTGATTCTATGATTAAATTTTTCTAGTTCCACCTTTTTCCTGTCTTGTCTGAAGAATTGCTCACAAATAGCAGAATTTTACCTCTGCTGCAGTTGGATGGGCTTACAGGCCTTACTTTGATTACTCCTTCCGTTTTGCAAAGGTGAGCTCAAAATCACGTGCGGTTGGGAACGGTTACCTGATTTTGCATCCAGAAGATGAGAGATGTTGGTTGTTGTACATGTCGTGAGCACGTGTAGTGATAACTAGCAGAATTGTGACACGATGCCTTTTTGATGGAAGGAGTTGTAAGTACCGAGGCTCGTCCTTAAGGAGAAATGCAGGCAGTGGTTTTCTGCCTGCTCTGACTGTTAGCAGCAGTCTGGAGGCTCTAGCTGGGGTGAGCAAAATGTGGTGCATCAGTGTGCGTGGAGGTGGTGGTGGATGGTTGCACGCTGCAGGGACCTCTGTCTTACAGGTACCACAAGCTGATCTGGGGGCCACACAGTATGACCTCGGGTGAGAGAGTCACTGGAGTCCTGATTGCTGGGGCTGAAAATGGAAATGTCGTTCTGTACGACCCAGCCAAAATCGTAGCTGGTGATGCTGAAGTAATAATTGCCAAGAAAGACAAGCACACAGGACCAGTAAGAGCACTTGATGTCAACATGTTCCAGGTTGGTTTTCTGCTGTTCTTTGTCAATAACTGTCATCTGGGGAGCAGCTTGTCTTAACTTGTAACCTTGGATATTTTTGTCCCTTCCCCCTCCCCTAAAAAACATGAACTAAGTTTGGCGTTTGAACGTCTCTTTGTATTTAGTTGGAAAAACCTGTCCTGTTACTGGCGTTTCAGGATGGGGAATGGAAGTTTAAGGTGCCTGGCTCGTTCTTTCTCTTTATCAGTTTACGCTGTCAATTTAGTGGGTCTTTTTAGCTCAGCTTCTATGTTTAAGTAGAGGTGATCTTCTATGGGGTTTTTAGCCAGTCTGCTTTTATAGCTCCCACATACTGTGCCAATATTGTTCTCCTCACACAGGGAGTATTTACATGCTCTCACTCATGTTTCCAGTGACGTCAGATTTTAGGTATCTCTTCTGGGGGTTGGGTAGGATCAGTCTTCAAGACCTCCAAGTATTCTTACTTGGAAATAGGAGACAAAACAGGAAACATGGTGACGTGGCCTCTTTAGTAGAAGAGCTCTCAAAACCAACAGGCTTTCCTCCATCACTAATGAGTGTTTACTTCCTTCTAGATACAGTGGGTTGGTTTTTTTTTCTTGTCCCTACCAGCTGTGCAAGAATTCTGTTGAATTAGTTTCCTAAATAGCATTTCTGTCCCTGCACACTCGCTCTCAGCAAGGCCGTTCTGTGTTCATTCCATCCTCTGAGTCGCTTCCTTTCCATTTCTGCCCGTTATGAAGTCGGGATTGTCATCAACCGTGGGATGTGGTCAGAGGGCTATGAAAGCTGATGCTGAAAACACTCTTCATGTGTCTTCCAGACTAATCTGGTGGCCTCTGGTGCTAATGAGTCTGAAATCTATATCTGGGACTTGAACAATTTTGCCACACCAATGACACCGGGAGTGAAAACACAGGTACCAGATTTTTTTTCAATACTGCAGAGCATTTTTAAATAACCACAACTGTTAGATGTCTTCTAGCCTTCCTCTGCATGTTTTGCTGCATGCATGAATGTGAAGTTCATGAAGGTACAGATTGAGGAAAATGGGAGGAAGATAAAAAGCAGCTACTGATGAAGTCAGAAGATGAGGCAGTAGGTTTGGCAGTTAACCTTCATGGGTTTCAGGGAGTGTTTAATTGCTGTACTTAAGGGCTACTGTTTAGCCTGTTGTCTCTTAAAGATGATCTATGGGGAAAAATAATAGCCTTTTGTACTTCATGCCTTGTGAAGGAGTTGGAGGAATGGAAGGAAGTTGTTTCAATGCATGTACGTTTCTGTAGCTGTTAAAGTTGCACAAGAAGTTTGTGGTTACTGGTAAATGGGTTTATTACTGCGTGATAATTTGGAGACAACAAAGTGAGAAGATGGGATGAGAAGTAATCTTCAGGTTAAACTCTGGGTTTGGGTACTGCAGTTGGAATAGTTTATTATCATGTGGGCATTTTGGAGGACACTCACCATCGTGAAAGATCCCTGTATAGGATTTTTTTGTGTAGTAGTAATTTTTTAGGTTAATAATAATTTTATAGACTGGGAAATCTTTTAGTCCATAGAATAGTGCAGCAGGGACTATGTTAACATTGCTTTTAATCCTTGGACTAAAAATGGGGTGGGATTAAAAAAAAAACACAGCAAACTTTTTTTTTCCCTAAGTCAAATCCTAATAATTCAAGGCAAAAGGGTAGTTCATACTCATGGAGTAATTTTCTGTTCTTGGAGACAGTGCTAGCTGGAGTTAACTATGACATGTGCTTAGTCTTCTTTAAGTGACCAATACATCATTGTAAAGGAGAAAATGCAGATATTTCGGCAAAATACTAGCAGCTTATAAATCAGGGGTTTCAAGTGTTCTACCCTACCATGTATGCACATGGGAAACCAGAACATAAACAGTACCTGGGATGAGTTTCCATCCAAATTTGTCATTTAGCAAGTCCTACAAATAAGAGGTCTTTAGTCTGCGCTTTGGAAAGGTGACAGGCTGTTCTGTGTGTGCGACAGCCTCTCGAGGACATCAGCTGCATTGCGTGGAACAGGCAAGTCCAGCACATCCTGGCGTCTGCCAGCCCCAGCGGCCGAGCTACCGTGTGGGATCTCAGGAAGAACGAACCCATCATCAAAGTCAGCGACCACAATAACCGGGTGAGTTAGCTCTCCTGCGGCCGCGCAAGTGGGTGCGGAGAGGTGTGGGGCGCCTCTTGGCGTGTGGAGACCGGTCGTAGCACCCCTTCTTACATGACATGGAGATACTGGGGCATGGCCAGGTTTTATACGACGTGCTAAATACCTAATGCATTCTCTAAAAGGCCTGTGTGTGTGCAGAGGGATTGGTAGCATTTTGAACTAGAATATGCAGGTGCAGATTTAAGTAAGGCAAGGCACCCTGATTTCCTACCAGAGTGATAAGTTAGTTTGGAGAAAGCCATTATTAATCTGTTTGGGGCTACTACAGAAAGATTAGCTAGTCACAAATTACATGTTTTGTGTGCTGGACAGAAGAGGTAGCAGGAGTTCAAAATCAAGCTCACAAATGAGTGCTTCTGCAGTAGCTGCTTGATCACTGCACTCTACTATACGAGGACAGTATTCCAGTCTGAATGTAGTCAAAATAATGCCCAGGAACACAGCTGCAAATTCCCCCACAACACTGTTTTACCACACATGTAAACGTATTCAGGCTAGTTGTCTTTTGTCCTCTAGCCCTGCGTAGTTATCTTACGCTGCGGTGCAATGTTGTCCCTCAGATGCACTGCTCAGGCTTGGCGTGGCACCCCGATGTTGCTACCCAGATGGTTTTGGCCTCAGAGGATGACAGGTTGCCTGTGATTCAGATGTGGGACCTAAGATTTGCGTCCTCGCCCCTTCGTGTTCTAGAAAGCCATACAAGGTATGAGTCTTGCGTAGTCTGCTCCGTGATGTTTGCGCTGTCGAGACTGTCGCCAGACCAGTTTGTACATCTCACTGCTTGCCACTGAAACAAATGAAACACTGAAGCTGATAATTTGTTTCTATGCTTTTCAAGAAGAGGGAGTTGAAGTGCAAAGATTTAGAAGGTGCAAAGATTTAGTAGTAGTTGATTTTTGCCTGAATAATGGACTGAAGGTGCAGCTGGGCACATCCTCACATGTGGACATGCCCAGTCACTTTGTCCCTCAGTCCCCTAAATGCCTTAAACTTGGGTGCAAGGAAAGATTTTGTTACGTAATCATCCTTCCTCAATTGTTAGTGCAATTTTACTTGTTGCCTGACACGAGTGCTTGATTTAAGAAGAGGGAACACCAATAAGACTGTGTTGCAGCTTCTACCAAAACTGCTGCCAGTAGTTCTTCTGACTTGTATCTCTTGCTGATAAAAAGCTGACAAACTTCCTAGTCACCAACCTTACCCACAGGTTTGCGTGCTGCACATTAGTGATACTGCAGGCCAACAAACCATTTTGTTACGCTGGTGTCCAGGTTCTCCCACACGCCTGTTGCATTTAATTGTCAGATACAATGGCTGCACCTTTGTACCTCTTAATGCAGAAAATTGAAAGCATCTATTTCTATATATAAAGTGCTGATAACATTGAAAAATTTCCTCTCTTATAAGAGGAAGGAGTGGGGAGGGAATTTTGAGGTGGGCTGCCCAGTTAATGTAAAAATTCAACTTATAAATGTACTTTATTTGTCACCGTTTTGCATTTGCATTAAACTTTCTTCGGTTGTGACTTTTCACGCAGGGGTGTATTGGCCATTGCTTGGAGTATGGCAGATTCGGAGCTGCTGCTTAGCTGTGGGAAGGATGCTAAAATTCTCTGTTCCAACCCTAACACGGGCGAGGTATTGTACACGTGCTACTTTAAAAAAAAAAAATCTCTGTTCAGAGTGACATGAGCAAAGTCAGTGCTGGTGTGCTTACATTCCCAGGAATGATGCTGCTGTGGGATATTTCTCCCTGTCCTGTGCACTTGTTTGATATGTGTGCCTTCTGGGCTCGTTCGGTGCAAGATTGTTTCCCAGTATTGCTGGTATGACACGTTACTGCTTCTCTCCTGCCGAGTAGTAAGGACCTTGCTCGTTATAAGGGATAGAAATCGCCCCACTTAAACTATTTCCTTGCTACTCTTGGTTTGGGCCTGATGTGGCTGGATTACTGTTGCAATTGCCTTTTTCCTTCTCTAAGTGTAAGAACTTTTATTCAGACCAGAGGGATTTTGGAGGTTACTACAGTAGTGGCAGACTAGTGAGAGGCACTTGCCGGTGTTCCCACCCCACCCTCTTGGGCCTGAGGATACCCTTTCAAAGGGAATGCAGATCATTTTCTCAGGCAACTTGAGTGTTTGCCTCGAGACCAGGCTTCAGGCATGCTGCAGGGCTCCTTGCTTGCAGTGGGTGATAGTCCTGGAGGACAGAGTTGCTTCTAAAATTCAGACCTCGGCCCAAAAGAGCAAAAGCTGTGGGGTGGTAAATGAGTTATCTGAGCTGGATCCTGTGCTGTCAGGAAGGCTTTATGTGTGGATGAATCATACTGCATATTTTTCTTAGTTTCCTGGGAAAGAAGTGAGGCAGTTAGCATGCTTTGGGTTTCTTCTAGTTTATGGTTAAATATCTGCCGCAGTGGTGGGCTTCTCTTTTTCCAGGGCAGGAGAGGCTGCCTACCCAGGCTGCAGATTTTAACTTACTCAGTTTTCCTGTGAAAACAGACAACTTTGGAGCCTGGACCTGTCTCCATGTAGCGTGTAGAGACACCCAGATTAGCTCTGAATGAGCTCGCCTGAATATTAGTAGCAGCTTAAAGCTTGCGGTGAAACAGCACGGACATACCCTGCCTGCATAGGTTGTCCTGCCTGGATTAAACAGAAGATACAATGGGAGAAGGAAATTATTACACACAGCTACTTAATTCCCTGTCAGGTGACTGTCAGCGTTTGCCCACTCTTGGTGTGTATGCTGATGTGGAAACTGCTGGGGAGCAGGAAGAGCAGACCAGCCTCAGGGCAGGCAGGAAGATTGTTGCTGTTGCATGTGGTGCTTCATAAAAGCCCTGATTTGTTGGACTTGTTTTTGCTGCCCAGGTGCTGTATGAGTTGCCCATGAACACCCAGTGGTGCTTCGATATCCAGTGGTGTCCCAGGAACCCCGCTGTCTTGTCTGCAGCGTCATTTGATGGGCGGATCAGCATTTACTCCATCATGGGAGGCAGCGCGGATGGCTTGAGGCACAAGCAAGTTGACCAGGTACTGAGAAATGTTCAGCTAACAGTATGGACAGAAATACGGTGGGGAAAAAACCCACGGGCAGTCTTCAGTGGCTGTCTTGCAGCTCCGCTTGGAGAGGATCCAATCTGGTGCAAATAAATGCTTGTGTTTAGTTTATTGGAGATATGTCACTTGGAGTTTTTTCCCATTTTGTTATCTAAGCTTTCATCATCTTTTGGGAACCTTGATCCATTTGGTACGGGACAGCCCCTCCCACCCCTGCAGCTTCCCCAGCAGACTGCCTCACAGAGTGTTGTTTTGCCCCTGAAGAAACCGCCCAAATGGATCCAGCGACCCGTGGGAGCATCATTCTCGGTAAGCAGGGGACAGGGCTGAGCGTGGTTGGCCGGGCAGGAAGAGAGATAGCAGTGACACCTGCAAAAGGCTTTTAGGAAGAGAGGAGTTCAGTGGTATGTTCCGCCTCCGGAAAACTTCTGTGTGCCGTCGTGGCGGGAGATGCTTGCAGCAGCTTCCGGACGGGTTGCTTGGGACAGCAAGCATGGATAAAAATGCGTGGGGAAACAGAAACAAGGAGGTGGTGTGTTGCCAACAGGCACTTGTTTCTTTTTGTCTTGGGATTAGGACTTTGCTTTTATTCATGCATGGTGCTTGCTTTGGAACAAACAAATACACATCGGCAGGGAGAGCAGGACCGAACTGGGCAAATGTCTGAGACAAGTGGAGTTTGAAGCTATGATGTGAGTCAGTGTGGTGGAGAACATTCAGGTTAGCTCTGATCAAGGTAGCAGGAGTTGCTGTAGCAGCACAAGACTCTTCCATGGCTGGTTGATTTGCAGAGGAGCCAGGTTGAGAGGGTGGCAAAGCCCTGCTTTTTTTTTTTGTGTGTGTGTGAGAGCGGTCGTCTGCGCTTTGGCTCCACCTTTAGCCTATTTTCTGGACCCACAGGTCATTTCTTGGGGATCTCATGAAGATTTTTAGGCTGTCCACTTGAAACGTATTTCTTTGCCCAAGTACTGCTCGATTTTCAGCATCCTATGTCTGCTTATTTAAAATCTGATGCACAAATTAAATGTGAGCTTTCTCCCATCAAAGAGAAGTGATGTTGCCTAACCACTGACTGATGTGTCGTTTTATAACGGTGTTTATTCCCTTATTTGTTTTCCAGGAGCTAGCTGTCAGTCTTTTTCTTAGCTAGGCTTTTTGCTGACTTTGTCATTTAATGGACTGGCCTGCATACATTAACTTTGAGCTATAGAATGAAATATTAGAAGTCCTTTCTAATTTGTTTTCTTCTGTTGATTTTACTTTGCTCCAAACGACACAACTTCCTGCCCATCTCTCTGTAGGGTTCTAACCAGTAAGCAGCCTGCCAGGAGCAGAGCAGACATCATGCTTGAGCTTTTATTTAATTATTTTCCTTGGTAATTACATTGCAATATCATGAGATACTCCATTTGTGCTGGGCACTGTACAGACCACTGTCCAGTTCTAGACAGTATTTGCCTGAGAAAAAAGAGGCACAGGAGTAGCTGTGCTCATAAATCTTATTAAATGTGCTCTCACTTACCCAGCAAGCTCCTTACACACGTGTAGGAACATGGGGTGGTGGGAAAAAAATGAATGAGTTGATGTCAGGATTGTCTGTCCATTGGATAAGCATATCTGTGCTGTATAAAATCATGTGCATACCTTGTGTATGTGCCTACGTTTTCATACACACTTCAGGATACGCATTTTTACGTACCACATGTCTGCCTCTGTTCCAGTTTGGAGGCAAGCTGGTTACATTTGAGAATGCCAAGTCTCAGCAGCAGCCAGGCGTCGAGCAGCAGCGTCACCATGTCTTCGTGAGCCAGGTTGTTACAGAGGAGGAGTTCCTGGCCCGCTCAAACCAGCTGCAGGAGGCTGTGCAGTCCGAAGGCTTTGTCAGCTACTGCCAGAAGAAAATCGATACGGCCCAGGCAGACTTTGAGAAAAACGTGTGGGCCTTCTTAAAGGTATGACAGCAGCTGAGGAGTTCCCCGCTGTTGGAAAGCCAGTGCAGACATGACTCCTTCTGTGCATTATAGTGTTTTAGCAGAAGAGGTGCTGGGAAACAGAAGTTTAGGCTGTGCCCATAGCCCTGTCATTGGAGGTGGCCCACCAGAGGAGAGGCTCCTCAGGACCAGGGGTGTTTGCAGGGTTCGTGAGAAATTGTGGGAGAAGCCAAGGCTTGAGGGAAGGTGTCCTGGTTTTTCTGACGTCCCCTGTCAGTACATCACTGTACAGAGAGCTGGTGAGAAGGGATAAAGCTTTGGGACAGCTTTAGATGTGCTTTTCCCTGCTCACTGTGAACAGTTGGAGGTTTCCAAGTGAAGCAGATCAGCAGATTGTTCACCTGCAGTGAGTGGGTGGAAGCCTTGCCTACCTGCTCGGCGTGCCCAGGTCACTTGAAGACCTTTTCAGTTCTCGATTGCAGTCAGCCTCCACAGTCACTTGCTCTCACCGGGTAGTTTGTGCTGGTCTGGTAAAAAGCCAGTGTGGGAGAAAATGAAAAATTGTGCATTGCCATATGTTCTTTAACTTTTGTTTTCTAAAGGTGAACTTTGAAGAAGATTCACGTGTTAAATACCTTGAGCTCTTGGGATACAGGAAAGATGATCTGAGGAAAAAGGTAAATGTGCCGGGAAGCTGTGTCTGTGTTAAATGCTTTACTGATGGATGTATAGGCAGAGCACAGCCTAAAATGTTGACAGTGGCATGTATGGTTGAAGTACTTACTTGCTTCTGGGGCTGGAAGAGCAATTACCAGTATCCACAGGCTATTCAATACAATAAACATCTGTATACAACATTATTTTTGGTGTGTTTTGCAGCAGATAGTAGTGGTCAGTGCTGCAGCTCTCCTAATAGCCATAATACAACTGTTAGCCATGGTGTCTGTGCCTTTGTTTAAATATGGCTGATGTGAACAGTTGTGTGTTATTTAAGGAATTCCTTTTTTCCAGAAGACACTAGGAATCTTTCTCTGCTATTTAAATTTGGTCTACGTAAACAGCTTGTGAATACCTTCAGCCGTTACTTTGGGGTTTTTATTAGCTATATCATCTTCTTGCATTATGGATGTTCAGTGAAAGTTTCAGAGCAGGCAACAGACTTGAGGTGTGACTGCATCGGACTGTCCCATGCTGATCTGAAATTCTCACTCATCTAGAAGCTTTGATATTTGTTGGTTCACGCTCTTCACGTAACTTTGTTATGTGACATCCTCCTACTGTAGCGTAATGGAATCTGATCTGGTTTTAGGCTTTCTTGTTGAAGAACATGTAAGCAGTCTTCAGGGTTTCATTAACTACCTTGGAAAACCTAGAATAGTGTTTGGGTGTTGGTGTTTGGTTTTTTTTTTTTGTGGGATGCCATTCAGTTTTACAGAAGAAACCCCAAACCTTCTTACATTTGGAAAGGCAAAACTTGGATTACTAGGAAACAATTTGCACATCTTAAGTGTAGAGCTTTCTTCCAAGCTGGAAGAAGATTCTTATCTCAGTGTTCCAGAGGGATGGATACCTGTTCTGCGTTTGGGCTCTTTATGCTTTCACTGCTGTTCCCAGGGATTGTCTAGTGTTTCTTCAGTTCTGACTCAGTGGATTTGAAAGTTTGACTCGTGTTCATTGTATCAAACTAATGTTTTATTTTCAAAGAGTGATTCCATGAAGATGTCACTGTTATTACAAATTAAATGGCCTCCACGGCAAATTTCCTATGATTACAGAGAAAAAATCATGGTTTTGCTAACAGTCTGTCCTCAGCTTCTAATTTTTTATTGCATGAGTCAAAGGCAAGCCCAGCAAGGGAAATCCTGGTTTTGGAAGACAGATCGCAATTAGAAAATCCAGTTGAAATTTAGCAGTGGTCCTATGGTTTGGCCTCGTGCAGACTGGAGCCTGCTGCTACAGTTGCCCTGGGTTTGATATGCTCTGTGCACGGCGAGAAGCTGGGAAAATGGGCGTACCTGAATTGGGTGGCCTGAAATGCTGAGCCTACCCCACTATTTCAGTATTTGAGGAACAGATAAGGGGAGCTGCAAGGCCATGTTTTCATTTAGCTGTTTTTCAATAAAGCATTCCACATTGAGGTTGAGTCTATGTTTTTTTTAAGGTCAAGAAATCATACAGAACAGCTCATTTGAAAATGTGTTACGCAGGTGATAAACTCACTAAATCACAAAAAGTTTTGATGTTACTGGTAGGGTAAGGAAAGTAAAACAGGGTCACAGGTTTCAACTTCTTGAAATAAGCTGTTAAGAGCATGGTGTTTTGTTTTTAATCATCTTAAAGCCTGTGATTCTCATACGCAAGTCAAGTCCAGGATTTCTCCTTTCTATTTCTTCTTTCTTTCTAAACTAATGATTAAAAAAAGAAAACTATCTCCACGCATTTGAGCTCAGCTTTTTGTGAAAACAGGCCTGCAGTACTAAAAGCAGTAGATAACATTAGCAGCATTGGGAAACCCAGGCTCCCAGATGTCAAATTAATGTATTTTCTGCATGTATTCTAAACTCTGTGCATTAATTTGGTGTTTTTGAGGGCCCTAATTGAATCTGGAGTTGTGATTTGCTTTGCAAAGTAGTAAAAGCTGGGCATTTGAACTCTTCCATGCCTTGTGACTCCTAACAGTCTCCCTGTTCCACAATCATGGAACCGTAGAATGGTTTGGGTTGGAAGGGACCTTAAAGACCATCCAGTTCCAACCGCCCTGCCATGGGCAGGGACACCTTCCACTAGACCAGGTTGCTCCAAGCCTCATCCAGCCTGGCCTTGGACACTTCCAGGGATGGGGCATCCACAGCTTCTCTGGGCAACCTGTCCCAGTGCCTCCCCACCCTCTGCGGGAAGAACTTCTTCCTGATATCCAATCTAACCCTCCCCACTTTCGATTTAACCCCGTTACCCCTTGTCCTGTCACTACAGGCCTTTGTAAAACGTCCCCCCCAGCTTCCTTGTAGCCCCTTCAGGCACTGGAAGGTGCTATAAGGTCTCCCCGGAGCCTTCCCTTCTCCAGGCTGAACACCCCACCTCTCCCAGCCTGTCCCCATGGCAGAGGGACTCCAGCCCTCGGAGCATCTCCGTGGCCTCCTCTGGACTCGCTCCAACCAGTCTGTATCCTTCTGATGCTGGGAGACAGTGATTGTCATGGCTTCATGTTTCCCTAACCAGAGGAGACAGAGGGTTTTGTCCTGCATGTTCTGATACTGTTTTTATTAGTCTGGTTTCCAGCAGCTCTAGTGAGGTTTGAGGCCCTTGAGTTAACAATTAAAGGTTTAAAGGCATAGAGCAGCTGTTGTTTCCATCAGAGCTTGGGGTGCACAGGGCTTAGCAGTAAATCCATTGCCAGGCTGGGAAAGGAAATGGCTGTAGTTTCATGTTAACTGTTCTGCAAGCAACACATTGGCTACATGTGCCAGGTTTGCAGTCTGAGAGATCAGTGCGACATCTGCCTCTAAAATAAAAGGGTACTTCCATAAATCTTGTTTTCTAGATTACATCCACTCTGAATAAAGAGATTCTTGCAGATGGTGACTTGGGAGAGGTAAGCAGACCCATCTGTACAGCTCTGTTCTTTTTTATAATGCCATGGTAATGTACAAAGTAAGAATGATTTTTCTTTCGGCGTGGTAACTGTCCCAGATTAAGACACAAGTAACCCAGCATATGACAAGTTCCTACATTCTGTGGGATAAAGGTACTTATTTTAAAAACACATCCCACTTTTTTTCTAATCAAATTTCCCCCTCTTTACCACCAAAAGACTCTCAGTAACAGGTTTTAGTGATGTCCCTCCACCTTTCCTTTTTGCTGCCTGTCTTGCCCACAGTGACACTGTGTACTGCCTGTGATGTAGAACAGAGCCTTGCTGCCTGGCAGCTGTTTTCAAAAGCACCACCTTCCCCAGGCTTTAAAAAAAAGCAGGATTGGGAGTGTGTTCTTGTAACACTTCCCTGCAAGAGTGATACATACCATTCAGGCATTGCCTATTGTAATTGCAGTGGCCTGAGTCTATGATGGGAGGACTGCGTTGCTTTGGTGCCGTAGATGTTTCAGATGTCATCTCTAGTTGCCTAATGGGGAAGAAAAGCTTTGCCGTAGGTTTTGAGACAGCTAAGATGAAAACAGGATGAAATGCTGTGTAATGACAAAGAGCAAGGAAATAGAGGGCCTCTGCCATGTTGTACTCCAGCATAGATTGCCAAAGCATTTCGGTGATTTGTAGTCTGGTTCTGGCTACTGTTGTTGGGTAGGTGGTTATGCTCTGCAGCACCAAGTGTTTCTCCCTCTTTTTCTGGCTTTTCTTTATGGCATCTTCTCCCTGCTGAAGTCTCCGGCAGAGTCAGATGAATCTGTGCTGAATGAGAGGGATGAAGGCCAGGCTACAGAGGAGCAGCTCTTGGAAGAGGTATCTGTTACCATCTAGACTAACCCTGTTGACCTCCTGTGTATTTACTCCATTACTCTTAAGAACATTTTATTTTGTTGGCTTTTTCTAGTCCTGTGGATATACGGAAGTACAAGAATTTATTTAGAAGGAAACGTGGGCTCTTCTGAAGTTGCTTGAGGTTTCTCATCAGCCTCACACATCGTGTGAATAGGTTTTGGTGACAGTGAAGGATGAACTCGTTTTGTAACAGTCCAGTTGGCACCAGACTCAGGGACTTTATTCTGCCATAATTTTCACTCTGACATTTTCCCTAACACACACTAAATAACTCTAATACACTCCTTTCTACCCTGGCTTCCTCATTCCTGCCTTTCCCTTCTGCTGGTTGATTATTGCCAAGCTGTCAGCTTGTTACTGCCCTGTTTCTAGGTGAAACCCTTTGCAGAGATGCCGCTGGGGTACTGGAGGAGAGGGGGAAGGTTCATTCTCTGCCTTGCTCCCACCCCCATCACAGTGCCATGGTCCCCTTTGCAGCTGAACAGCGAGCGTCGGGGCTTTGGTAGCTAGCTGCCTTAGGAATGTCTGTTGCAACAGTTCAGCCAGGTTTGTCACAGGCAGTTTGTGCTCCAGCACGTCTGCCTCTGAGACCCTACAGCTTTTGTTCATTTCTGTCTGTCTGAGCAGCATTGTTTTCAGCCCAGTGTTGTAAGTATGGAGACAGGTCTGGAACTAAGGACCCAGCCTCTGCCATGTGAGGTGAATAGCACGGATAATGGTGGTATTGCTGTGTGAAGAGGCTGGCTTCATTTTCACCCGTTCCTGCAGTCTCCCTTCTGGGTTCGAATTTGAGCAGTTAGCCCAAAACTACCTCTCCTACCTGTGCTTGGTGCCTGTCTGAGTTGTCTCTGAAGACGAGGATGGTGGTTTACGGCTCATGCACGCTGGAGGGGTGTGCTTGCAACAGCCTGTTAAGGACACTAGAACGGAGCACTCTTGTTGGGTTAGCTGCTTGATTGCTTTTTAATTCATTAGCATAGTGGAAGGCACGTGTATCTGACTTCGTAAGGATTTTGCTGTATGCAGCCATGAAGATACTGGATGTCTCATAACAGATCTCTTGTCTAAGAGAATTCACAACCAACATGACCGTAGCCTACCAGCATGGGTGGTAAATATTTGTTAGATTAGCCTGAAGGCACTGATGGTGCATCAGGGAGTGCTGTCACACATATAAAGTAGCTGGATGGGCACGTTATTCCTGTGATAATCACAACGTGCTTTCAACTAATACCAGACACGCATCATGCATTATCTGACAACAAAATAATTTTTCTGATGCTGCCTCTTTTCATGAGCCAAACATAAAGGTTGTTTCTGACGTACCTCTTCATCCCAAATGCATGTTCTTGGTCAACTGTTCACTTGTTCTTCATCCTCTGAAGTACAGTTTCAGTGGTGAGCGTAAAAGCAAGATGTTCTGAGCAGACTCTTGAACTCCCACTGCCCATACTAGCATGCAGGCTTATGACAGGAGGCAGTTTGTGGGGCAATTTCTGTACTCTTCTTAGGCCGTGCTATGAAAATTAATGGTGGAGAGAGACTTCCCTCTTGGTATTTTTTTATTCTTGAAAGGTTTTGTTTGAAATCCTAAAATTTAAGTACTTGCAGGAGATGCTCTCTATCTTAACTCTTGAGGGAGCTTTATAAAAAAGCAACTTCTGTCCACTGACCGCCTCTGAATTGAGTGCAACGTGCTTATGTCTCTGTGGACAGTGTTGGACTTGTGTTGAAGATTAAGCATGTATTCATGTGTTGTGCTTAATTAAACTCGGGTGTATGCCAAGTGCAGAGTGTTGAAGGGTGAGCTGAAAGTCCCCAGTGGGGCAAAGTGAAGCCTAGGTAGCGTTATGGTGGACCGTTCTTGGCAGGTGTTGGAGTTTTGAAAGAGATGGGAGGGAAGGTTTCTGATTTTCGTGGTTGTGGCTGTTGTGCTTTGAGGGGGTTGTGTGGTTGTAGGCACAGATGTGCTTGTGGCAAGTCAGGATCCAGGTGTCTGGTTGCTGGTATCTCTGATCTCCAGGTATGCAGACCTGTGCTTGGGGAAGCCTTCCCTGGTGGTTAGAAATCCGGTGCTTCTAGCGCTTTTATCCCTTGGCATCCATTCTAACAGAAATGGTCCGCTCTGGTCTCTCAAAACTATGATTTTATAATGGTGTGTTTACATGCACTGCAGGGCCTTTGCTGAGCGTAGGCCTCTGTGTGCTTAGGAGGTGACTTGGTTCAGGCATCGGGGAAACTGATTAATCTGTGCTGAAACAGTGTTCTAACAAATGACAGCAATACTCGTTCCTTCTAAGCTAATGATCTCTTAGAACTTCAGGCTACCAGTCACCTATCTGTAACTTGTAATGCAGGAGCCATATGGGGGTTTTTATGTGTGTGTTTAATATTCCAAGTGCTTACATAATCTCAAAAATTATGTAAAAATTATGCTCTTCCTTTCTCTTAGAGGATGAAGGACAATAAACAAGAAACTGAAGATTTGGGATCTGCAAAGACAACATTTAACATCTCTGTTAGTGGAGGTAAAACCCCCTTGATTATAAATATCAGCACTTACTAATGTTGATACTGGTGTTCCAGTGAGAAGGCAATTTCTGCACAGACTGTGAAGTACGATTATGACAGGTCTCTAACTCCATTCATTTCACAGCGGTATCGAGGCACTTGAAAATACGGCATTTAGGGGATGAAAGGAATTATACAGTATTCATATACCCCATCACTGCAGTGAAACCACTGTGAGTGAGTGATTTCTGTATAAAAGAACGCACGCCCCATCAGGCATGAAGATCTAATGTCGCTGCTTGTACAGAAACGCCTCGGGGATCTTGAAGCCATTGGCCCCTGTTTAAGTTTGCCTTTTTCTGGCACTGTATGCAGGGTGGGTGTTTCAGAGGCCGCTTGGGCTTGTAGCATCTTGCTAGCATTTACTAGCATCTTGCTCTGCAAGGTAAGTCTGAGACTGGAGATGAACTGGGGCATCCCTGTTAAGCACCTACCTGGAAGAGGCTGGTCAGCAGAGAACGTCGCGCAGTGTTGTACCGTTCGTTGGACCTCATCACTTGCTGTTGCATATTGAAGTGACTTGTGCCATCATTTGAAAATGCACCCCTCTCTTTTTGCAGATGTGGACGGTTTGATTACCCAGGCTTTGCTGATGGGTAACTTTGAGAGTGCAGTAGATATCTGCTTGCACGATAACCGCATGGCTGATGCCATCATCTTGGCCATCGCAGGCGGACAAGAGCTGCTTTCTAGAACACAGGAGAAGTACTTTGCTGAGGTGCAGAGCAAAATTACCAGGGTATGTTTTTCAGTTAAGAAACAACATGCTTGTAGGCATTTGGCAACTCCCTTTTTCACCTTAGAAGTGTTTTTTTACCTTTTCATAGATTTGTTTTTGTGAGAAGCTAATAAGTAGTGAAGTCCATCCATAAGATCTCTGAGCAGGAGGATTTCTGTTGCTCTTTTTAATGCATTGATAGGGAGGAAGGAAGGATACCACGTGGATATCAGCTCACAAGAAGAGCGTTGTTTACCTTGTCTCCAGTGTTCGAGTTGTGTATACTCTGGTAGATTCTGACTGATAAGGATAAATATCTTAAGCAGTGCATGTTTCAGTCTGTTATCTTGATACGTTTTTTCAGGAGTTTCACATGACCCGTACTCAGTGCCAGCAGCATTACTTTGATTTCTACCTGTGTCTTAGTAGATTTTGCTGATGCTTTGTTTCACTGCATGCCCAAAGACATCTAAGTGTGCCCAGACCAGATCAGTCAGTCTTAGTCTAGGGGAGAGCATGTTATGCCCAGCTGGTTCTTTTCAGCTTTTTGCAAGGCTAGGGATTGCTGACACTGCTCATTCAAATCTTTATTACTGACATGAGAAGTGGCCTTAGAAGAGCACAGGACAACTGGTTTGGCAAGGACAGCCACTTTTTGAGGCGCAGAGGAAGTTGCTCATGGTCACTTTTAGCAGTCCATTGTTAAAGAGTGTTTTACGCAGTAGCAGGAGTGACCTATAAAATAAAGGGCATGTGCTTAAGTGTTTTACTGGAGCAGGGCTGAAAGCCCCAAAGCACAGTCACTTGGGAGTTAGGGCACACAGCACCACAAGCTAGGGTCAGTAAGTGGGATTTTACTGGTCATTCCCTGCAATCCAGTTTGAGATGGGAACAATTTGCGTTTCTAGTAGCGCACAAGTGAAAAGAGGAAAGTCTCTAGTATTCAGACTTTACGGTATTTCTTCCCCTGCCCCCAGCTCCTTTCCTGCCTCTGGCATAATCAGAGGAAGGAGAATTTTGTAATGTGTGGGGAAATTTCTTCACTGTAGTTCATCCTTTGGAGAAAAGTATTTTTATGGAGAGCTGGCGAGTTATCTGTGCCTGTTAATAAGTGAATGTTGACCTTGCGTTTGTTGTTCAATTGTGGTTTTTTTCTTTTCTGGTCCTGAACTGCACATTTACTGCTTGTTCAGCTGTTTTGGAGCTTGAAGTCTTGGCATGACAAGGTCTTTGTTCACTAAATAGCAGCACAGCTGCCAAATCTGAAGCAAAATAACCAGAGGCAGAATTTGAGACAGAAGAAACTGGAATTTCGTTCTGAGAGCTTGTGGAGAGGCAGCCTGTGTGGGTGGGTGTGGGGTAGGGATACTGCAGCCAGCTCAGGTTGATGTTGCTGTCAACTTGGTTCTCCCTTTGAGCAGCCTTTTTAATTGCCCCTCATTGATCAGCTTGAGGCTAAGGGCTTAAAGCAGAATGAAATAGTTTGATAGACAAAATTCATGCCCATTGCTGAGCATTGTGTCTAAGATTTATAGCTAAATGCTTGGTATGGTATCTTTGTCTACAAAAACAGTGTTGAAAACCATCTGCAGCAATCTCAGCTTGTGGAGATTTGTGGAGATTTTTCTTGCACGTGTTGTAGCAAGAATAATTGGCCTGTCTGTGTTATCTGACCTTGTTTTGTGATTTCCACTGAACTCTTTTGAAGTAAAATGTATTCGTGCAGTGCAGTATCTGTCATGACCCTTTATACAGTGGGGATGAGTACACTTCAATAGATACTTTGCTTTTCAGAATGCAGTATAATTTGTAAGTCCTACCAGGATCTTAACTGTCCTCTCTCCCTCTGGTCTAGCTCATCTCTGCAGTGGTAATGAAGAACTGGAAAGAGATTGTGCAGTCTTGTGATCTGCAGAATTGGAGAGAGGCTTTGGCTGCTGTGCTCACTTATGCCAGGCCAGATGAGTTTGCAGCCCTTTGCGGTAAGGACACTTTACAGATTGGATGTCACTTATTCCACTTCTAGCAAAACTGCTCTTTGCCATGGTGTTTTCCTTCCAGTAAATTACTGTAAGGCCTCGTTAGCTTCTTTGATGGATAATGTAGTTCTTTGGTCCTGTTGCAGAGGAGGACAGGAATCTCTGGCGTGCTGTGTTTCCAGTACATCCCTGATTTTCTGGGCACAGAACCCAGACTCTTGTGGGCAGCTGTGTCCTGGCATCACCTGTGTAGTGCACAGCTGCTGGTCTCTTGCAGTTTCCGGATGGGTGATGGTGATGGTGATGTTGATTTGACAGGGGTCTCAGCCAAGGGACCAGTGTCTAGGAGTGTTTGTGCATGGACAATGGGAATGTTTCAGGGAGGCGCTTCCCTTTTCTTTCCCAAGAGCAATTTTGATTCCTTCCAAGGAGTCCTCTTTCACAGGGAGTGAGCATGCCTGCCCTCATGTATGCTGCATGGCAGACAGCTGGCTGGGTTTAACCCACAGAGGTTACTTACAGTAGCTGTGTGACAGACACCTCTCGGATGGCACCTACTGTGTCTAGGGAGCTGTAGGACTCACTTCAGCACACATCAGCCCAAAGCAGTATCACAGTTCTTTGGCCAGTTGCACACTCGGGCACACTCCTGAAATGAGGGCCTATAAAAAAAAAAAAATAAGTGGGAGAGGGGATAAGTGAACCCTGGCCTCTTGTTTGCTGTCACGTCAGCAGATGGACTGTCCCCTCTGACATGTCTCAGGTTTGCAGGCATTTGACAGGTCTTTGCTGCCACGACATTAATGGCCTCTGAAGTGCCCTGGGCTCCCATGAGATTATCTGTGCTGGATACCCGAGTATGTCCTTACCAGTGGAGCCCAGAGGCCATATCCCTTCTCAGTGTGCTCAGCAGAGACACAATAGGCATTGCAGGCTTTCCCAGCCTCAGCAGTGATGGAGGGATCACCAAAGTGAGGCTCATCTTCTTTGTTGATATTTTTCCTAGATCTCCTGGGTAACAGGCTGGAGAGCGAGGGGGACAGCCATCTGCAGACACAGGCTTGTCTCTGTTACATTTGTGCCGGCAACGTGGAAAAACTTGTTGCTTGTTGGACCAAAGCTCAGGATGGAAACAGCCCCTTGGCACTTCAGGTTGGTAATTCTGTTGAGAGATGATGGAAGTAACACACTGGGATCATTTGGCACTTAAATGATCTAGTGTAGAGCTTTGATGCTGTCCGATAGCTGCATGTGTCTCAGGATGCAAGCCTTTTCCTTCTGGAATGGGTAACTTCACAGAAATAATACATAAGATGTTGGAAAATGTGTTGTGAGGCACGATGGCCTTTGTGTCTGCTCTGTTCTTTGGGTAGTCCTGCTAATATGCTGCTTGTGTAAGAAGGGAGTTGTAGGGCTTAGAGTGTTTTGGTAAAGAACAGGCTTTGAATGCTTGCATCTTTTTGCAATAGGGGAATACTTGGACATTTTTGCTTTTGGAAGAGATGGCTTGGATGTTTAAGGGAAGAAGTCTAATAAATTAAGGGTGAAATCTAATAAATTAAGGGTTAAATCTGGAAAGAAAAGTGTAGGAAGGCTCTCATGAGAGTTTTCTGTAGGGGCTTGCACATGCAGAGTTTGGTTTCCAGCATTAAAATATATTGCATATAGTAAATAAATGAGAGGAATAGGATTGAGTGAGATGAATCCATTATGGAATAATTATTTTAGTGTTTTACAGTTTATTCCATCTGTTCAGGGCCTTTGAAGGACCAGTTTTAGAAAGTTCTTAAAGTAATGTTACCTGGCAGTGCTGTGAGTCTGTTTAGTTAATTGGAGGAACTGGGGTACATGCGAGTGTTGCTTCGCATTATGAAATCTCTCCAGTTTTGATTTATCAAAATTACTTTCCAGGCTCTTGAGTGCTTCATTTACAGATTTACCTTCAGTTTGAATGCGTTTTGATTGCATTGCTTTGCTCTCTTGGACACTAAAATTGAAAACTACTATTGGAGTCATAATTAGGATGCTTGTTTACTATGATGTGGAATTGCTGGAAACCTAAGAAGCTGTGGGGCTTTTTACTTGCCTTTTTTGAAGCGCAGATTGATTGGTTAAAACAAAAATGTGCTATTGAACAGTCAGTAAACAGTCCTTATTAGTGATGTATGGTTGAAAAATCATGTGTGGTAAACCATTCTGAGTGTAGTTTGGAAGGGACCTTAAAGCCCATCCAGTTCCAACCCCCCTGCCATGGGCAGGGACACTTTCCACTAGACCAGGTTGCTCCAAGCCTCATCCAGCCTGGCCTTGGACACTTCCAGGGATGGGGCATCCACAGCTTCTCTGGGCAACCTGTGCCAATGCCTCCCCACCCTCTCTGGGAAGAACTTCTTCCTGATGTCCCATCTAACCCTCCCCACTTTCAATTTAAACCTCTCACCCCTTGTCCTGTCACAAGGCGTGCGCACACCTCTAACCCCTCAGGTTTATTTCCCATGCTCTGTGCATTCACATAGAGGAATTTAAGATGGGCTGCCCATGACGCTGACTGGAGCATCTAGAATTCCTGTCTTGTTTGCCAGGTGCTCTCCTGGTGACCTGTGGTCCTCTTGTTAAATCTGTTACAAGGTTTTTAAAAGGGATTGAATGTTAATATTGTCAAATGACTCTAGTATCTTCCAATATAATACAGCGAGAGTAAGAAAACATGAGAAAACTAACCAGAAAAAGTTCCTGTAGCCTAGCACTAGGAGAAAACCTGACAAAGACCAGCTCTGGGGATGTGTAAGGAAGGCAAGATACTACTGGTTGCAGTAGCAACCAGAAAGCCATGCACAGTTCTCCCAAGGGAGTTCTTAGATCCTTTTGATTAAGATAGTTAAGAACTGACTTATTAAAAAGCTGCAAACACATGTGTGGCACCCCAGCTCTAAGAGCGGTGATGGGCATGATGTTTTCTGTTTGCTCTCATGGCTTTCACCAGATATTTTTATGAAAACATACTCTTTTGGTGGACGTGCTTAGTGCTGATAGGGCCCTGAAATCCTGCTTAATAAACTCAGTCCTTCCAGTGCTGCTGGCTTTGCTGTTAAAAGCCACTTGGCGCGTAGTTGCCGGTTGCAGTTCTAACTTCTCATGTTAGGAAAGTCGTGCCTTTAGTGCAGCTGTTAACTGTCCAGGAAAGCTTCACTGGGCTTGGGTTGCTGCCACATGTGGAGGGTTCTGCAGGGCTGCCCTGAGGAGGAGCCCTCCATGACAGTCGTTAGCCAGGGCCTTTGTTCTCATTTGTCGTTTGTTCCCTGATCTTCCAGGATTTAATTGAGAAAGTCGTAATCCTGCGCAAAGCAGTTCAGCTCACCCAGGCTGTGGACCCTAATGCTGTGGGGGCCCTTTTGGCCGAGAAGATGAGCCAGTATGCCAACCTCCTGGCTGCCCAGGGCAGCATTGCTGCAGCTTTGACCTTCCTCCCTGTGAACACCAACCAGGTACGGGGCCTTCAGGTTTTTCACTCCCTCTCTGTGTGAAGAGGTGTACTTAGCAAAGATCCTGCCATGGTACAGTTAGCCAGCAGGACTGCCGTTTGAAATGCACCTCAGGATGTGACGGTCAGGCTGTTTCCCGTTTTCCTGCATTGGCCTTGCTGAGCTGGCAGGAGTACATGGCCTTGTTCTTCTCCCTCTTCACACCCTTCTCTTTGCAGCCAGTGGCTGCCAAAGGGGTAGCTGTCCCTCCTGCAAGCCAGTGTAACAGGTAGCTTGACACTTGGTTGGCTGTTGTCTTTCGATTTCTCAGCTTCCATCAGCTGGTATTTGTGGACAGACTGTCTTGGGATTCATGCAGGCCAAAGCAGGAGGCTGGCACACAGAAGGCAGTTCCAATGGCCCCATGTCTCATGCAGAAAAAACTTACTCCACTCAAATAAAACAGAGCAGGCTTCTGAGAGCTCATCAGCGTGCGACTAGTCAGCCTCTTGATGTGATACACTGGGTGACCAGACAGGGCAGTTAACCTTTGTTTGCCATCTTTCTCTGCAGCCAAACATCATGCTGTTACGGGACAGGCTTTGCAGAGCCCAAGGGGAGCTCCCAGTGGGACAGGAAGCCCTCAAGGCACCATACGATAGACAGCCCGTGCCCAAAGGACGACCTGGCCCTGTGGCTGGACGGACGCAAGGGACCCAGGCTCCAGCCCAGCAGTATTGCCAACAGGTAAGTGTTTTTTTGCACTCAGGAAGGGACATAGGACTTGAGTTCTGGAGAGCAATGGATAGAAGAATATTTTTTTCCTTTCTCTTGATCTGAGCTGGAGCTGTATGACATGCCTCAACCAAGAGTCTTGTGGTGAAAGTAATTGGTGCTGCTTTTCAATCAGTACAGATGCCTCCTTTACTCCTCATCTGGAAATGTGCTAGACACCTTGTCAAGTAGCCTGCTTCTGAAGATAAGGTGTTTTCCCCTCTTTGAAAACACGCTTCAGTTCCAAGAATGACTGTGTTGGGGGAGCACTGCAGGATTTTTCTGTGCTTGCTCTCATAGCCCTTGATGTCATCCCCTCCCTGTAGGCCCTGGGGCTTGCTCATGCTGCTTACCAGTCTCTTCTAGGGCTGATTATTTCCACCCCAGCTCTGATGTTGGCTGTAGAAGTTGCTGAGCAGTGGCAGTAGCAACTGAGGGCAAGTTTTGGTAGCTGTGGGTAGTCTGCTGTGAAAACACCTTCCCAGCTGGGTGTAAGGAGGCAGCACGGGCAGGGGTGAGACTGGAGCAGGGAGTCAGGCCTGGGCTGAGCTGTGCCAGAAGAAAGACCTGGTGAGTATGGGACTAATAAAGGAGCTGGGGGCTGTGCAGGGAGGAAGAAGAGAAATGGGGGAGGCAGGTGCCCTGTTTTTATCTGTAGCCTGAGGATGATGCTGCATCAGACCACATTGGCCATCACCGGAGTGTGGTGTGGTGGTACACACCTGGCTGTGTGTATGCTTACGGAGCATCGACAAGTCCGTAAACCCTCCGCACATTGCTGGAGCTCATCTGGCCCTGCTCTACACAGGGCTCTGAGTGGAGCTGTGTTCAGAGCTGCGGGTGTTCTTGCATAGAGGAGACTGGCACCAACAGAGGTATGTCTGTCAGTGCTGCCCTGCAAGCACTGCCTGCCAGAAAAATGGGGGCAGGAAGGAAGAGGGCTGAAAAGTTAGAAGGAGTTGGGTTTTGTTCTCTCCATGTTGATGTCAACAATTGTGTGCGCCCTCACCTTCTTTCAGGGGTTAGTAAAGTAGATTTCAGAGGGGACAAAACCTTCCTCCTGTTCATACAAGATTACCTTTCTAATGCCATTGCGTAAGATTTTAAAAGCATGATGTTTAAAAGCATGATTTAAAATAAACAGCTATTCTTTCCTATGTCTTTGACTTTACTCCTTGTAACCAATGAATTGCCTTTAAAAAGCAGTGCTGTGTATTTCCTGTTTGGCTGTGGAAAATAGCAGCTGACCTCTCAGGTGGTGTAGTCTTAGCAAAGCTTTTTCAACCAGAGTTCCCTCTTTATCCTACTGTTAAAAAAAAATTATTTAAGCAAGCCTTGCTCATTAATAAAAAGCTGGGTGTATTAACCCAACAAGCACACAGAGAGTGAGTTACCCCCTGTGTTCTTGGCTTTCCAGGGAGTTCATGCTCAGCAAAAAAAAAAGGGGACAGGTGCCATGTCAGAAAGGTGCCCAGTGGTATGCTGATGAACCAGAATGGAAAGAAGTTGTGTATTTGAGCCTTAGGAAACTTGTTTTGTTTGACTTCCTTTTAAGACAGTGTGTACATAGGGCTTGCTCAAGCTTGAGACAGCCTTTGTTTAATTGCTGGCCCCAATAGGAACATGTACTTAAAACTTGGTTTCCTTCCAACGTAGGTTTTTGAACTCTCTTTTTATCAGGCACGCAAGAGGATGGGAAAGCCTTTTAGATTACCCCGGTGATGAGTTGTACAGACATCTGTGGTAGTTGTACAGCTGACGGCACTGTTAGCCCAGCACTGTGCAGGGTTAGAGATGGATAGACTGAAACCAGCTGAGCCAACCAGGGCTTTGGGGCTGCAGCTTTCCCTCTGCCTGCGCTCTGTCCTGACCCCGCTTGTGTATCCCACTGCTGGGCAGCATGCCCTCTCCTTGCTCAGGGATGTCACAGGTGTAGGAGGTTTTGGGTTCCTGTCCTGTTAGAAAGGTAGTAGTGTTCGCATGGAGCTGAAGGGCTTTGGAGTGGCAGAGAAGGCAAATATAAGAAAGGAGGTATGGGGGACTGGCTGGGAAGCTGTCAACATTACAGTGTATGTTTGTGCATGTACAAGAGACGAATATTGGATTTTAAGCTTTTTAAATGCATCTTAGGCTTGATTTAAGCAGACTGATTTTGTGTGAGGCAGTATGTTTGAATTTAACATGGAACTTGGGACTTCCAGCTGTGGTTAGTGATGCTTGGTGTTATGCAGTAGCCTGGGGGAGGCTCCTGAGATAGGAAAATGTGATGAAAGAGGCAGACCTGGCTCTCACTGGCACATGTAACACTGCACTCACTCCACAGCCTGTTGTAGCTGCATCTCTGCTGGGCTTCATCTTCACTCTGCAATTCACTCCTGCTCCAGTGCACAGTGATTTTCTGTCTTGAATGTACTTTTCCTTCTTCAGTGCACAGTGATTTTCTGTCTTGAATGTACTTTTCCTTCTTCCTCTGAGATTTCATGGCTGTTACAAGTACCAGCATGCAAACTTTTTGTGTTCGCTTCTTTGCATCTCATTTTGTGAAACCCTTTAGATGTTTTTTATTGGGGTTTTTTTCCATGATTGGTATTTCTTTGTTCAATTCAGGTTAGAATTGCCCCTACTGTCACTACCTGGAGTAACAAAACTCCTACTGCCCTTCCCAGCCATCCTCCTGCAGGCTGTCCCTCTGACACACAGGTATAACCTTCATTATTCCTCTCTGAGCCCCCGCTCCACCCCAGTGTGTCCCCTGATGTAGTCTGTGTGCTTGACACAGTCTGATACGGATAGGCAGAAGGAGCAGCTTCCTGGTGTGGTCTGGTTTTGTTCCTCTGCATCTCAAGTTGCCTTTTTTTTTTTTTTTTCCCACCAATGCCCAGATGAGTGGCTCTGGAAAGCCTTGAGTGAGAACTCAGTGGGACCTGACCCCCCTCAAGCCCTTGAATCACACTGGAATATTTGTAGTTTGATATTTTTCCTTTCCCATGGAAATTAGAAGCTTCGGAGTTAACATTTAAGTTGTTCAGTTGAAAGCTGTGGATGGCAGGGCGCGCTCAGGCTGCCTGAATAACAGGTAGCACTGGCAAGGACCTCTTCCTCATGCAGGAAGGTGTGTGCTGCTCTGCGGGTGCTGAAGTCACTGCACATACAGGCCGTGCTTTCAGTCTTACGCCGGACGCCCCAAGGCACTGGGGTGGTTGGAGGCATTTGCCCCTGTGCTGGTGGCTCTTCCAGGGAATGTGGTTTCAGGACTTGAAATGTGAACTGATCATTTTGCTACAGTTCTGTTGCAGCACTGCATTATTGTTGCTGACTAAATCCTATCTCCCCCTACCCTTTCTCCTGCGATCTTTTTTTACAGGGAGACAACCCACCTCCTCCAGGGTTTATCATGCCAGGTGCCGTTAACCCCAGCGTGCCACCGCAGCAAGCCACGTCTTCCAATTACAGCATATACTCACAAGCAGGGGCCCGGCCAGCATATCCACAGCGTGAGTAACGTTTACGTGGAGGGTAGGCAGTCCACTCCTTGTGCTTGGGAGGGTTCAGACCAAGCCAGTGCCACATTTGTCGGGGGGTGGAAACTCCTGAGATGACATCTGAGGATTGTCATTTCTTGGTGGGGTCCAGGTATGACGCACCCTCTTCGACTCCTCTGTCTCCTCTGCTGAGAAGGGGTCTGCTTGTGGCCCTTAGACTCATTCCTCAGCTGGCCCTTCCCAAGGGTGTGCCGGGGTCAGAAACTCACTAGCACGAGTCCTGGAGAAGCAGCACAGGCCTGGCAAAGAGGGACCCAACTCATCTGTGTGTACTGGGGCCATCCAGTTCTCAGTAGGACTCTGTGAAGGTGGGAAAGGGGATGAGGAGACAAGGGCAGTAGTAGAGGTGAGTGAGGAAGTGGGCAGAGCACTGACACCCTCTGAGCGGGGGACTGAAAGTACAGACACCAGGGAGGAAAAAATGGGCATAGGTGGGTGGAGAGTAGGCAGTGAAATTAAGCTGCAGGGCCAACAGTGAAAGGCTGTGAGCTTGTGTTCACTTCCAGAGACTGCTTGGCCTAGGCTTTCCCTTTGTGCAGACCTGGGGCAGGGGTTTCTCTGCCCTGAGAGGCACTGTGAGCATTGCAGTGGTCCAGAAAACAGCCAGAGCAGCAGATCCATGTGCCCCAGCCCTACCCTGACTGGTGTGGTGGCTCTGGGCAAGAGAGTCTTAGGGGGAGAATGGGAGTCCTTACAGCCAAGGCAGCCCTTTCTCCACATCCCCACCCCCAGTGGCAGGCTGAGGTTTGAGCAGTCCTGCAAGTGCAGGCAGATTTGTGGGAGCCAGGATTTGCTGGGCAGGTAAGTAAAGGGCAGGAAGAGAGGAGTCAGGTGGAGAAGGAAGCAGATGCAGGTGAAATCTGCTCTCTGTTGTGAACTGACTGACTGTCTTTTTTCCCTGTTTGTAGCATATCAGGCCACACAACAGTACTCTTGTGGAACAGGGGGACCTGGACCAGCTCTCTATCAGCCTCAGCAGCCTATTGCTGTCCCTGCTTCAGCCTCTTACCCAAATGCTGCTCATAACACCACGCCTCCCTACGTGCCCTCTGCCCCTCCCCACTCTGTGCCGTCCCCGCTGTACCCTGGGCAGCCTCAACCCTCCCCAACAAGCCTGAATCCTGTCTCTTCCTTCCCTCTTCCTCCTTCTGGCGCATCCTTTCAGCATGGCAGACCAGGACCTTCAGCAACTTCTATGGCTTATGCATTACCAACTGGACCAACAGGTACTCTGCCTGCAACCAGTGACCTTCCTGCATCCCAGAGAACAGGTCTGCGCTTGGATGGGGGGCAGTCAGGGAGGGGTTTGTTTTATTACTCGGTTAAATGTGCACCTTTTCCTAGTGAGTACTCTGCACAAAGTTTGCTTGTGCTTAGAGGTCCGTTCAAAGCATTTCTAAAACACATCATCTTCCCAGCGTATCTGGCAGTGATACGGCTGTGTTGCTGCAGTGAGCACTTGCTGAGCAGTGTGAAGTCGTCTTTCTTTTGCGAGTCAGACCTTCCCACAAACACAGAGCTTTTGTCTGGCCCAAGACAGCATGCTACAGTAGTGTCTTGTTATGAGGCTGTCATGTACTGTGAACAGACGGTGGCAGTTTTAACCTGGTAAGGATGGCATCAAAACCTGCTAGGTGGCTGGACAGGAAAATACAAAAATAAGCAAGTTTTCCTAATTGCTGCAGAGAACATAATCCCAGTTCTCCTTGCAGAACAGTTTTGCAAATGTAATCTGACACTGTGTCCCTGGTCTGTGAGCAGCATTTCAAGCCCAGAATTGGCAGGGTATTTAATTCAAATTGCATTTCCTGTGACATCAGCTCACTTCCATTATTTTTTTTCCTAACCACTTAGTGCAATGGGATTTACTGTAGCTGTGAATGCCTTAAAAGATAATCGGAAGTGATTTAGAAATGCTTTTTACGTCTCTTTCTTGAACGTTAATCAAAAGCATGTCTGTGGCTGTCACGTAAGGGCATGTTTGAGCATGCACTGAGATGGGGCTCCATGTCTCTCTTGAGTGCCTGGACATAACTGTTTCCTGGGGAGAGTGACCTTGCTTGTGATAACAAACCTGTTTTTTCACGTAGCAGCCTGTCAAACAACAGCTTTGCCTATGTCGGTCAGGCTGTGCCGGAAATATTTTTTCTACACCAGGCCATAAACATATAGGTGGTCCAGCTGGCATGTCTAGGACCAGATCTGGGAAGCAGGGAATGGAGGGAATATTAGGCAGGATTTGAGTGTTCCAGGGATGCTGAGACTGCTGACAGGCCCTAAGGACCCCACTGTGACTCCCGCTCTTTTTCAAGTCTGTTAGGGTTGATGCGGTGCGGAAAAGGCATATTGCCTTTGTCTTGGCAGCAGCAGTACTACGAGTGCTCCTGGCGTCTGTGAGGCTGTGTCATAGTTCAATCCCAGCCTGCAGCTGAGTACCACACAGCTGCTCACTCACCTCCCCCCTCCTCTAGTGGAGGAGCAAAGACAAGGAAACTCGTGGACTGAGATAAGAACAATTTAATAATTGAATATAATAATGATACTAATAATAACATTTAATAAATAATGGAAAATAAAACCAATTATACAATTGCTCACCACCTGCCGACTGATACACAGCCAGGTCCCAAGTAGCGAGAGTCAGAGCCAGGGAGCCCAGGAGAGATTGTACCAGAGTTAGAGCAAGCTTATGCATTTTATTACTGTACTCGTGTCACTGGCAGGCACTTCACATCTGTCACTTGCTGAGCTTGTGTGAACGGTGAGGTGACATGGTCCATGTGGTGTGCTCAGAGTGGGTGAAGCTCTGTACTCTGGACAGTAGAAATTAGGGACATTAATGACCGTAGTGATCGATTGGTAAAATTGGGTAATCCACGCAGGCTAACACATCTTGCCTGTGTCATTTTAATATCAGGGGAATTGAAGCAGTTGTTATCCATATTGCCATGCTGGATTCCCTTTAAAAATTAAAAGTTGTCCATACTAGGCTTTTAATAAAACTGAAATGTATCAGTGCTGCACCAATGTATTTTCCAGAGTAGCTGCATTGCTTAGTTAAGGGTGCCTTGGCACGGCATCTCATAGGACCACAAAAATCTGCAGCCAGAAGTAGGTCTTACCTGTAGCTCTGAATGTTCCAGTACAGAGCGTATAGTGATGCTGGTCTTGGCTTTGAAGTGGTATGCTTTTGTGTGTGGGGGTGATCTAATCTGGGAACATCATGTTTCACTTTGCAAATGTGATTCGTTTGAAGGTGAAGGTAAGGGAAGAAGGGGAAAAAAAAAATCTCAAAGTCTTGAAAAGCCATCTGACCTTTGAACAGGCTTGGATTAAAAGATACGCTTAAGGAAACAGTTCCATCTTCTGGTTTTTTTGCAAATACATATAGTGTAAGTATGTTAAGCTGTGCTTGGAGCTCCAATAAGCAAGAAAAGCCCACATTTTACTTCATTTTCAACTTATCTCGCTTTGGTTTGCGATAGGTGTTTGAACCTGCTTTCAAGGGAGTTTTAATTTTCAGTCTTGCATCTTTTTGAAATTGTGACTGAGTAAGTCTGAGCTAAGGGAAGTGTCTGTGCCAGAGAGAGAAGCGCATCAGACCAACCCCAGGGACAGGAGTTACCTCACCCCTGACGTTCTTCTCTTTGAAATGGCAAAGGCCTTACTGGCTGTGTTTGTGTCATTTGGATTTGTTGCTCAGTCTGTGCAGGCAACGTGGCATTTCACATGGCATAAAGCTGCTGTGTGAGTCTAATCTTTTTTTTTTTGATGGCCTGGACTCTCCCAAAGAGCACGCCTGGTTTTGGAAGAATACTTGATGTCCTCCACCTTGAAGTCAAGTATTTTAAGCAGCTCCCGTAAAGCTTTCTGGAATGGTAAAACCATGGTGAGAAGATTAAGAGTAACAGTATGTTGGCTTCACTCCTAGTAGGAATAGAAAATGAGAACACCAGAAGGGATAAAATGGGCTGGGATACTGCAACATTTCAGAAACAACCTAGAAACACTGATTTACTGCATGGGAAGAGCAACAGGCTTGTTTTCATTGCAGTACAGCAACAGGTTAAACAAAATGTTGCAGTACATTTTATCCCTTCACCAGAAGGGATAAAATGGGCTGGGATACTGCAACATTTCAGAAACAACCTAGAAACACTGATTTACTGCATGGGAAGAGCAACAGGCTTGTTTTCAGGGAAGGCAGGCAAAAGCATTTCCACAGGGCGGTTTGGACAAACGACTTGTCTCTAAACTGGCGTTGTAATTTGTTCAGGCATTTCTTCTCCTGACTTCTCATGCTTATTGAAACTAAATTGCTAATCAGAAATTACAGACCAGTTGTTTTATGATTTTGTTAAGAAAATCTTTTTTAGCTCTCTTTGTATTTTACCTCCAGAAAGTCTACCGACTCAAGACCAGGCCTCTCCCTTTGCAGGTGAACTAGGTACCAGCTAACTGGGACAGAAATTACGGCCACTACATGAAATTAATTGGATAGACATCAATAATGCATATGTTCTTCAGAGAACATTGTGTGATGCTGTGCCAATTAGACTTCAATCAAATCAATTTTTAATTCCTTAATTAAAACCAATAACAACGTATCTGGAGTTTTTAACCACAGAAACAAACGCTGGTTATCCTCTTTGTAAAAACAGATTATTCATGGAAATTAACAGCAGGTGCAGCCTGGGAGATTTTCTTAATGTGTTACCAGCACTGCAGAATTTAGACTTCCTATATCAGAAATACTCTGGTATTTTCTGGATAGGGAGGAACAGAGTACCAACCTCCTGGGGCGCATGGCTGGCGGGAGATGGCGCTGCCTTTGGTTAAGAAAGAAGCCGAGGTGAAAGAGGCTTTAAATTGTTTTTCATGTACCCCTCTAATGTGCGCTGGATGTGGAACGTGTTTAACAAAAGCTCAGAAGCCAATGAAATTTCAGATAAATTGAGCAAATTCTCTAGTGATGTTAAGCTCTGCTGTCTAATTCCTCATCTGCTAAGTGAAAGACACTGTGGTGAAAAAGTCCATTGAGCAGGGATTTGGGTTTGGTGGCTTTGTGCAGGAACTCCTGATTCCTCGGCAAGGCTGCGGTGACGCTGAGACATAATGCTGTCGTTCCGATGACACGTGACTCCTCCTCTGTGAGGAGCTGGGGAACTATTTCTAATTGTACTAGTGTGATCTTTGCTGTACCAATCTTGCAGCCGTAAGGAGCGTTCTTTCTTGGAAGAGCAGGTTTGGTACAGAACAACACCCCGGGCTCGAAGGGAAGCTCCTCAGGCATCCTCTTTGCTTCTTCCATTATCAAATAAATTGCCCTTGGTGCAAAAAGCTAGATTTTGCCACCTTGCTCCAGCAGCTCTGCCCTGCTTTTGGGACACAAAGCACTCAGGAACATGCTGTAGCTGGCAGGGTAGACCTGGTTTTATGGCTCTTGTGTCTCCAGGGTGGCTGGGTGAACCTGGCCTGAAATGTTCCCTCTCAGGCGTCTTCCTTCTGTGTGGTGTTGCTGGGGAACGTGTCTTAACTGTTCGTATAAATCCATCACAGTACGCAACCGCGGCAGCAGCTCTTAGGAAATGGATGCAGCTTAAGGGTGTTCTTTTTCCCCTGTGGTTTCTGACATCCCTGCTGCTTGTTAGTGTTTATAATCATGTTATGGTGGTCATGGACAAAAAGGTCAAAACAGGTTCTCATTTTTTCTCATACGATACAGACGGGAGAAACTGAGTGGTCACTGAAGCCATCTTCACATGCACAACCCTCTAGCAGAGCTGTGTTTGGGGCATGGTGGGCAACAGTCTGCCTTTTCAAATGGCATGTCTGCTCAAAGTTGGTTAGTTTTGGTTTTTTTTTTCCCCTGCAAGGGGTGAAAGAGTGAATAATTTAAAACATAAATAAATAAACTTCTGTGAAACTTGAGTAGTTGGTCAAGATGCCAAACCTGCCCAGTGGGTGCAGAGCCCAAAGGGTCTGGGGGTGTTGGGAGGCTCCGGCTGGTGCAGGAGCTGTTCCGGCCCCCAGGAAAGGGCAGAGGAGCAGGCAGGAGAGGGCAGGCTCTGCAAAACCCCTGCCAGTAGAGCTGTGGTGGGGAGCTGGCCCAGCTGAGCTCAAGAAGGCATCACTACTCTCCTGAGATACTTAATCTCTCTTCTTTCTGTTCCAGGGCCTCAGAATGGCTGGAATGACCCTCCTGCCCTGAACAGAGCTGCCAAGAAGAAGAAGGTACCATACAAAATCCTGTCTTGACACAACCGAGTGCTGAGCACTTGAAATGCAGTAACTTAAAGTGTTCCTGTGGAACCTGTTGGGAGAAGGAAAAAGAAAGGGTTAGCAGCAAACAAAAGGTGCCCCTCGTGAGCAGAAATGGCCTTTATGCTTCTCCAGTGTGCGTTCTCTCACTCAAAATATTTAAGCCTCTAAAGAGATGGTGGCTTTTTTGCTAAAGAAGGTATCTCAGACTGTTTTCATCCGCAGTAAAGCAGATGAGTTTTGCAGGAAATGGTATTTAATGAAACGATGAGGCTGTGCAAATTGTTATAGTTTACTGACTTTGCCGGAGTTGAAAGCAATTTATCCTGATTACGGGTCTGACCCCAAGAGCTCTGCTGAGAGGATGACAATTCCGTGATGGAGACAATGTAGCTTTGTAAAATGGATTTAGATTGCAGCAGGACAGAGTAACTGGGGACAGTTGGCACAGAGCAGAGTGGGCCTTTTATCTCCCAGGGCCCTGTAGTCTTGTGTATCTCCACAGCAGTGAGTGTCGTCTGGTGCATTTGGGAAGCAAGAGGAGTGTGTAAAATATGGGGTGGGGGAAAAAAAAAAGGCTAGAGCAGGCAAGATGAGGTCTGGGTGAAGGTGGAGGCAGAAGTCTCCTTTGCTCTTTGGGGTTTGGTCTCTGCAGTTCAAGAGGTTTTTGGAGGATGGGTAAGGGGATGCTTTGCATGCTCCTGACTGCCCCAGTGCTGGGATGCTTGTCGCACAGCAGCTGGCGTGCTGCCTTTCAGCTTCAGGATTTTAAGCAGAAGGAGGAAAGTTGTCAGTGAGAATAATTACTGGACCTGATTGCTCAAGCAGTGGCCTTCTGCAAACAGGGTTTGTCCTACTGCCTTGTGTGCGTGTCACAGTTGGAATTTCTGCCCTAGCCAGGGCTCAAGGGGGGGCTCTCATTGAGGAGTCATGTTTATTGTGGTATTTAACAAACCTCTGTGAGAAAAGCTTCTAGGTTTATTTCCCTTACGTCCACTCTGAGGGGGTGGTTTAGGGTAATATAAAATGACTCACCACGTAGGCTATTGTAAAATAGAAGAACCAGCTGGCATTCAAGCTGCAGCATAATTTGCAACTATTTTCCACCTAACTTAAGAACTTATCCACCACCCAAGTTCATTGCTGTGATTCATTGCTTTTATAACTGACTTTGCTGGATTGAGACTATTTTTCTTGCTGTCCCAAACCACTAGCTTAATTATGACATCACTCGTTCAGGGTAGCATTCAGGGTTCTGTAATCTTTCCTTTTATTTCATGCATGCCCAAAGAAATGTGAGCATTCCCATGCGAGCTCATTATTTTATTTGGATCCCTATATGATGTGTAGCAGAGGCCAGTAGCTCAACTTGCTCTTTCTTCCCTCCAAATATTACCAAATATTACTGAAATGCCCCTGTGTAAAGATTGGTAGATGCTTAGGGATGAGTCTGAAACGCCCTCATAATCTGTCTTAGCACAGAACTGTTTGCCAGAAGCTTGAAAAGCTTTCAGAAGCTTTACTGGTGCGTGTTCCTAGCTGTGACCTATGTAACACGTGGACGAAAACGTACTCTTAAAAGTCAGACAAATCTAAATATAATGACCCAATAGTAAGATGTGGGTTAGTTTTCATTAGTGCAACTCTTGTGTCAGTGCTGCTCTGCCAGACCCCAGTTTGTGCCCTTAGCAGGGGGAGAGAGTGGCTCTGATAGGAGATGGCTTGTTTGTGCCCTTAGCAGGGGAGAGTGGCTCTGATAGGAGATGGCTGTGCTCAGCTCATGTGGCAGGGGCAGGCGGGACAGACTGCTTCTGCCTTGTGCAGGCAGGAGGGAAGGCAGAGCACACGGGACCGGAAACGCTGGAGAATATTACTATCACAGGGCATTTGGTACTGTGCAGCTGCAGCTGGAGGAATGGGTTTGTTTAGCCAGAGTGAGATCCTGTGTTGCCTGTCCCTGTTTCTTCTGTGTTCTGGGGGCTCGGTGCTCTGCTTGGCAGAGCTCTCAGTTGCTGCGGGTTGGGAAGTCTGTAGGAGCTGGGTGTTGTGCTCTGCCTGCAGCAGCCATGGCAACATAAATGCAGTGTTCTCTCTGTGTGTTTTGGTTTTGTGTTTTTTCTTTTTACTCAGGTCCCTGATAACTTCCTGCCCCCGGTTCCCATCACCTCCCCCATTATGAACCCGCTGGCGGATCCACAGCCGCAGATGCAGCAGCCTCTGGCTCCGGCACCACCCGCAGGCACACCCAGCTTCCATCCTCCTCACCTCCCCACGGGGCAACCGGTGCTGCAGGGTAGCTACCCGCCTGCTTCCCAGCCCCTGGGGCCCTGCGTCATGCCACCCTCTGTTTCTAAACCCAGCATGGAGGGGGCCCCTGGGGCCCCCATTGGCAATGCCATCCAGGTAACGTAGCCCCAGCATTGCACGGGCTTGGTTTGTACGTCAGTGGAGCCTTCCAGGCTGGGATCCTGTTGGCCAGGGATGTCTTGGTACCTCCAAAGTGTACTGCAAAGTTTTTAGCCAGTAGCTTTGCACCACGCTGGCATTTTGCTAATGTAATCTCCACCTAGATGATACCTCTTTGCAGTTAATGCTGTAGTCAGTGCCAACCAACGCGCTATTTCCTTCTGCAGCTTCACAGCTCTCCAAAGGGAGGGACAGCAGATGCTGATGTTAACCTCCACACGCCCACAGGGAAGAAGTAGGAGTTATGCCAAGCTGGCTCATAATGCCACTTGGTTTAGTTGAAAACAACATGTGGTCACAGTGACCTGGAAAAGCCTCACCTGCTCTCTGTTTTCAGCATGTGCAGGCACTGCCAACAGAGAAGATTGCCAAGAAACCCATCCCTGAGGAGCACGTTATTCTGAAGACTACATTTGAAGCTCTTATCCAGAGGTGCCTGCTGTCTGCCTCCGATCCGGTAGGCCTCTGCAGTGTTCTCGGAGTACATCTGTGTTTGGGTGAAGGCACGGGTACCTGCAGCACAGCTAGCCGTCACAGCCTCTCCTGAGATAGCTTTTTCCTTCTAAAGGCTGCTCTGAGCAGCCACAAGCAACGCGTAGAAAACCCACATGTACGTAGGATGTGACAATCTGGGACCAGGGCAGTGCCCAGCTGCCCGAGCACTTTGAGGTCCCTCGGTGTGGGCAGAGTTTATGGTGGGGTGTTTAACCCGTTGCAGCCACCTCTGCTTGCTCCCTTCTAAGGAGGAGGGTTGGAATTGGTTACAGTTGAGGTTTTGATGTTGATGGTTAAAAGTAAATAAAACTTTAAAAGTCTGAAAACTCCAGAAAGGACTGTGCTTCCTTCTGTCAGGTGGTCGCTGCACATTTATTTAACTGCTGCTTATCGTTAGCGTGGAAGCACCTAGTATTACGCCAGGTCTGAGCTGAGGCTCGTATACGTGAGTACATGCCTCAGGTTTTGATCCGTGACTTCTGATAACAAACTCATTTCAGAAGGAAGCAGCAGGTAGCAGAAAAGCGGAAGGTTATGAGCTTCAACACGACCACTGGAGCTGGATAGGAAAATTGGAAAAAAACATTTCCTGTGGCAGTCAGTGCTCTGTAAATGAGCTATCCATCTCAAAGCTTCTCGTTTATCTCCAGTGGTCAGTAAATAACATGCTGCCCCAAAGCCCAGATGCTAACTGTTCGGCTCATGCCTGCCACGTGCCGAGAGGTGGATGATGAAAGACAGGTTGGTGGTGTGTAGAGGGCTGTGCGCACTAAATGTGCTTGGTCAGCAGCACAGACTCGTGCTCCCGGTCGGATGGCTGGGAGCTGAGCTGTCGGAGGGTTCTGTGGCTGTGGGATGGCTGGGAGCTGAGCTGTCAGAGGGTTCTGTGGCTGTGGGAGTATATTGTGTGCTTGGTGTCACTTCTGTCTTAAGTCTGCTGTACAATTTCAGCTGGACTCTGCATCTACATGTACATAGTCCTTATCCATGTGGGTCTCAGCCCAGAAGTTTCAGGGTGGACATGCCCACACGTTCCTTTACAAAACGTTTTGGGGTCACAGAGCTTTCTCTGGGCACACCTCCTAAGGTTCAGTAGCATTTGGTTGCTCAAAATCCTTTAAAGGTTAGGCTGTAGAGCGCAGGGACAGAAGTCACACACTACGTGGACCCTCTGACTTATTCCTCCCGAGTGCCCCTTCTCCCAGACTCGCAAAGAAAGACGAAAGCATTCAGTTCACATCTGCACCCGGGGATTGCTTTTTCTGCAAAGCAGCATATATGCCTCTTCACAGACTTTGGAACAACTGTTCCGAAGTCATGGTTCGAGTGAGTTAGCCAGTCCGAAAGAACTAGCTGGTTTATCTGCTCCTCCTTGGGGTACTTTTTCTTGTCTCAGTTCATCGACAGCATAACTACTGCTGGGGGGTTTTCTGCACGTGGCCCGAGATCCACGTGCTGTGTTCTCCTTTTTGCCCTTTCTCATCTGAACAGTTTTCCCTAATTTCTAGCACAGCAGGCAGCCACCAGGCTGTCTTTACGCCTGAGCTACAGCATTCCCATAGACTTTGTTATTTTCTCTCTGGGCAATTATTTAATCCAGGGAAACTTTTCCAGTTGCCAGGGGAAATGGCACTATCCCAAGTGACTGATATGCGTACTGATTTAGAAGGATGTTCCATGACTCTTGATGCCATTTCTGCTGAAGTTGACCACCTTTGTTTTTATGCTTCTGTAACTGTAATCTTGATGCTTTATTATTTTATTTCTCTGGATTAAAAGCTTCCATTTCTGTAGCTGTTTAAAAAAAAGTGGATAGAAATGCGTTTCTCCAGCAGCTGCTGTGGCACTGCAGGTGGAACATACTGGGATTCTTTTAAGGTTGCCTTTGGTGGCAGAATAATTCCAGACACCTCAGTGGGTGGTTTGCTCCGTGTAAAATCATGGAAGCACAAAGGGTCTGTAAGGACAGTTTGGATGAGGCTGTTAGTTTTTCTGTTGACAGCAAAAACTTACAAACTCCTGGTTTTATTACTAATAGGGTAATAAAAAATATAATTAGGGTTTGCCATAAATGATGTTGTACGTACTTAGGCTTCAGTGACTGCGCGTGCCCTTAAGTTGCCGTTGTTGCTGGATACTTGATTCCAGTAATAACTTTATCCAGCTATCATGCTTTACCAGTGAACCATAGGAAAAAAATTCATGCTGCAGTGAAGAACTCCGCCAATTTCCCCATCAGCTATACCAGTGGATTTTGCAAATGATCGGTGGATTTTGATATGCACCTCCACAGTTTCACTATTTTCTGTGGCTAACGATACATGTGGAGAACTACAGTCACATCACTTGGTCTTTCCTAGCAAAATCAGGGAGAAAAGTACAGATCAAAGAAGTCAAATGACGCGTAAGGGAAACGTTGTTTGAGAAAGGAGCTCTGTAGATCTCTTTGCAGTGGTATCAGATCAGTATGGTGTTCTTAAAATCGTTGTGGTTTGATGTGTTTATTTCTCTTGCAGCAAACCAAGAGGAAACTAGATGATGCAAATAAACGCCTGGAGTTTCTGTATGATAAACTTAGGGAACAGACAGTAAGTACTCTTCTACTTTTTTTTTTATTTCACCATCAAATACTGCATGTGTAGCCAAGAATTTCATCTGTGATGTAAACCCCCCTGCAGATGCCTGTTCTTTCTTTGGATGTGCGCTTCACATCCATGTATTGTACGTTTCCCTGCGTGTCCCAGAAACAGCTAGTGAGGGTGCTTGGCCCCGGGTGCCTGTGCAGACCTGACAGGGTTTTGGGTCACGGCATGAGTGTTGTGGTGCCGTACAGGGCCTACACTGAGCCAGAGAGCACTGGGTGAAGGCATCAGGAGGGTCCCTGTCCCTAGCTACTGGCAGAATGAGCCAAGACAGCAAGTTCCCCTGCTCCCAGCAGGAAGTGACACATGTAGCCTGAGGAGGGGGGTTGGGAAACCACTGACACAAGATTTAGATGCTTGAGGCTCACTGGCTTCACTGGAAGGCAGATGTGCAAGTATTTTCAAGATCTGGTAATTTTTCCAAAGCCTTCCAGGAGATCTGCAACAGAATGAATGACAGGGCTTAGAACACTTAATATTTTAGGATTAGAAGGGTCTAATCCTGTCATTGTTAGGCCATCTTTGAACTTCACCCCAAAGCCTCAAAAGCTGAGGAGGTTTTTCCTGTGCTGCAGTCTGTCACAGCGGGTCTCCCACCTCAGGGGGTTGCATCCAGGGGCTGGCAGGGCTTGGCAGCGCCGTAAAGACGGTACATTCTGGTTGCAGCCTGCTGTCAGACTTCAGTGTCTGTTGAAGACCCTGAGCGTTCCCACCGTGGTGTAGCTCCGAATACGGCAGTCTTTAAAGAAACTAATTGCTGAGGGCCAAATGTAACACTTGGGATAGCGGATTTTCTAGGACTAATGTATGTGCTGTTTGTTCTTTCTGCTGACCTGTCTTGCCCGGCTTCCTCTGCAGCTCTCTCCAACCATCGTTAGTGGTTTGCACGACATGGTGAAGAGCATTGAAACCCGCAACTACCAGGAAGGACTGAACATCCACACGCACATTGTCAGCACTAGCAACTTCAGCGAGACCTCTGCTTTCATGCCTGTTCTGAAAGTCGTCCTCACCCAGGCCAATAAGCTGGGGGTCTGAAGTAACCCTGCGCTGGCGAAGCCTTGAGGGTTGCTTTTCCAAAGAAGTGCGTTTCTACAGCGAACACGCGGGAGAAGGGACCAAATGCTAGTCCTCGCGGCGTGTTGCGGTAGAGCGCTTACAGATGGCATTACACGTTCCCCGCAAAATTCTTTGTTCTAGGAGGGCTGTGGAGCCCTGGTGCTTTTTATTTTAATCCTTTTCCCACCCCCAATGATTCTTGTCTACAAATAGTATATTTAATGGATGATGCCCTATATTGTCAATTTTTAGACGCATGTTATACTGCTAAACAGTGGCTTTTAATAACCGATGCGTGTGTTAAAACAAGATAGGTTTGTGTACCCAGTGCCAGCAGCCGGCAATTCTTAGGGTTCCAGTTAGGGTCCAGCTCCAGAGAACCCTAAATCCCACAGGTCCCGGGATAGTTGGGATTGCAGAGGCCTTCCAAGAGGAGCACAGCACTGCACCAACATTGGTCTCTCCCAGATCTCCTAGCCAGAACCCAGGGGAGCCGGGGCCGGAAGCCAGCAATTCTTAGGGTTCGGGTTAGGGTCCGGCTCTGGAGAACCCTAAATCCCGGGATAGTTGGGATTGCAGAGGCCTTCCACCAGGAGCACTGCACTGACATTGCTCCCTCCCAGCTTTCCTAGCCAGAACCCAGAGGAGCCGGGGCCGGAGGCGGCAGCTGGCAATTCTTAGGGTTCAGGTTAGGGTCCAGCTCCAGAGAACCATAAATCCCACAGGTCCCGGGATAGTTGGGATTGTGAAGGCCTTCCACAAGGAGCACGCCACTGCACTGACATTGCTCCCTCCCAGCTTTCCTAGCCTGAAGCCAGGGGGTTCTGCCGGGACCCTAAACCAGATTATTCCCATCCACCCCACTGTTCCTTATCCAGAAGAGCAGGTTGTCCTGATGTTCCTATGATACACCAGTGAGCAAGGGAAGAAAAGCAAAAGAGAATCTCAGTCCTTCAGGACCACTAGTGCATGGGGTGTGCTCTGAGAAGGCTAGAAGGGGCATTCAGAAGCTGGTCCTACAGACGCTCCCATGGGGTGGTTTTGGGAGTACTCCTGGACGAGAAGTGGTACCTGTGAAGGACATGCAGATGGTCTGCAGTTTGTAAATCTGGCTCTTTCTGGGGAGACCGACAGTGGTGGAAGTGGGGTGCACTCTGGTAGGCGCAGGGTAGCGGGCAAAACCATTGCTGGAAATCGGAAGCTCATAAATTGGGAATGAGGAGCAGCAGGAGCTAAGGGGATTAGCTGGGAACAGCTCCTCAGTATGGTGTGGCTTTGTAAAAGCCAAGGAATGTCTCATGGTGTTGCACAAGCCTTGATGAGGCTTCTGTTGATGTAAAAGAAAATGCCAAATGAGAAGGGACTCGGTGAGGCACACATCAGGGACTGAAGAGTTTGTTTAATGGGAGGAGACTAAATGAACTCTGCACGTTCACCTAGGAAAGAGCACAGCGGGATTGGGTTGATTGGAACTGAAGAGCAGTGTTAGCATGAGAATAAATGTGGCCATGAGTTAAGCTTGGACTGGAAAGTGAAGTGGTCAAAAATAAGACCACTGGATCAGTGTCATGGTTTAACCTTATCTGGTAATTAAGTGCCACACACTGGCACCTCCCTTCCCCCTCCAACAATGGAGAAGGGTCAGAGGAAGACAAGGAAAGCTTGTATAGTTGAGATAAATTTAATAATATAAATGAAAAGTATAGTGATACTAATAATAACAATACGACTAATGATAAGTAATTAAAACAATAGAAAAGAGCTCACCACACACTGACCGACACATAGCCAGGTCCCAGAGCAGTAAGCAGAGAGCCCCAGAGGGGGGAGAAAACCTCACTGACACCCCACCCCCCAACGAAAGAAAACTGCTCTCCTGCTAACAACCAGGCCAAGGGCCAACAAAAGAGACACAGCTCTCAAGCTAGCCCAAGTTAAGGATCCTCTCCGCCCCCAGGCCGCTTCCTGACTCCAAAACTGCGCATGTGCCCTGAGCCTGATGTACCATGGAATGAGGCGAATCAGCCACTCTGGGTGGGCCACCTCAGTGTAGGAGAGGAGCTCGTTCCTGACTAAACCCAGCACATTCTCCACCCCTTGTTTCACACCATTTACATCATGCTCAGGTCCCACACTATTCCATAAACTCTCCCCACTCCCCCTTTTCCATCCCATCCCTCACAGACATCATTCCCTCAGTTTATGGACCATATGGGCAAAATATCCATGAGTCCATGACTAAAACCTCCTAGAGGAGTTTCCACCTGTGTTTGCTTGTTGCCAGGGTGGCAGGAATATTTGTGGAAGGCAGCTGACAGGTTTCGGTGCCGGTTGCCTGCGTGGGAGCATACAAGACTAATGTCTACCCTGTGCCATGCTGTAATAGCCTGCAGAAGCCAGGTCAGGATGAGTGCTTTCAGCCTGCCTTTCCAAAGAGACATGCTTCCCAATCTCCGTATTTCCATGCTGCCTGCTAGCACTCCTGTTTCTCCTGCCCCCAGCCCTGATCTTCCTCCATGAAACACCCAAGGCAGCGTTCCTGCACAAGCCGCAGTGTGTGGAGGTGTGCGTGGGCCGTGCAGTTTGCTCCTGTAAGCCCGAGGGTCACCCACAGCGTAGCGATCGCTCAGGCTGCGGCTCTGGGCTCTCTGGGT